TACTCCTGTAAAAGATATGGCCAAATTTTACGACCTCAGTTTTGAATTTTACATGAGTAATATATCTTTTTACGGTTTTTCATGGCAGCCTATAAGAAACCCACTGCTAATTCCGCTGGTATGTAAATAACATATTTGACAGAGGGTATTTTTTTCATATTATGATCATTATACACATACAAAATATAAAAAACATATAAACTGTCTTTTATAAATGGCCATTCCATTTAAACATATTTTGCAGTTTGTATCATAGCAGTGTAGCAACAGCGTCCTTTTAAAACTAGTAAATCGAAGCACAAATTCAAATTTTATGGTAACAAGTTTGCACTGTGGCTTGAAGCCAAAAACGTCACCTCTTTGAGAGCACGTACGATTTATGACCATGTCGCTTACTTGAACTTTAATTTTCGTTGAAACTCCATTTCCTTTAATGCTAATATCACTCCAGGTAAACGGAAATATATAATATAATATACCCTCGGAAATAGTTTGCTAAATTCATTTAATATTATTAATCTTACCACTCGGTTTTTATTAGACTAAGAGAAAGCAATTATTTCGGTAGGTCAACGTCTGTACCTTCATCAAATATAAGTATTTGCAGGTATTATAAATTTATTTGCGGTGCGTTGTCACTCTTGAGGAATAATACAACAATAAAAGAACAAATGCGACGTTCCGTGCCAGAAGGGTTCTATAGAGTAAAGAAGATGTAATGCCTCGTTTTAGTAATATATAGGTTGCCCGATCTCTTCAATCATAACCTTTACAATCTCTCTACAGTCTTCTGATACAATCATCAAACGAATCACACCAGCATAAAGCTGCTATTCTAAGCTGGTGTTCTTTTTCACACGCTTGTACATACGTACGTACGTTATTTTTACTAAAATCCTTTGCGCTTCAGTGCTTTTTAAGAGGTGATGTGACTGAATATGAAAAACTGTTTTTTCTTTTTTTATTAAGAGCGAGCAAACAAGCATCCAGCTCACCTTATGGTAAGTGTTGACTACCGCCCATGAATAACTGCAGCACTAAGGGAAAGGCATGTGCGTTACCGGCCTTTTAAAAAGGAGTAAGCTCGTTTCTTGAACGTCTCTAAGTTGTATCGGTCCAGGAAAATAACCAATGGTTAACAATTCTACAAAGGAGTCCTGTGAAGATTGTGGACCGCCAATCGTCTAGATGATGTGGTTTGAAGATGGTAACGCCAGTTTTGTATATGTATGCTTTTCACTCTTGTAATGCAACTATTACCGATTTATAAATAATAAGACTTGATTTACGACTTTCTCCAGACGACAATAAACTGTCTGGGACACGATATCGATAGATTTATGTTTGAGAATTTTTTTCCCAACGTTATTTGAAAATATGATTGCTTTGTTCTCCACTTTAGTTAACAAGCTTGCTTAAGATATCTTGTACGTATTGCACGAAACTGACAGCATTATACGAGAAAGTAAACATTTTTTCTCTGAAAAGCGACAATAGATGGCAAGGGGATGTTTTATTATCGATATTTCGTTGTCTACATCTACCGTGGATTAAGAATGAAAATTTAGTCCAGTTATCACCCAATAAGACTAAGATGGATTGCTTCATCACAAGTAAAGATTAGGATTTAAGAATAAAGATTTAAAACCTACTTTAAAGAAATAAATAGTATTAATTAATTTCACTTCAGAAGTCGCTGCTAATACATAGTGTTACGGCCCTCAGTTGCCCGACAGAAGTCGACTGTACTAGGGCCCATGAGTAATACACTCGACGAGCAACCAGAGGGTTCGGGCCCAAGTGGCGTATGGATAATTATTAACTAATGGCTGATAAGCAAACACAAACTTACTGAGTTCCGGAGGTAGGGTTGACCACAATGTATCAGTCAAGTGGTAAGTAAGTAGTGTGCGAAAGTGTGTATAAATGTAACCTGACGTCACCGATGTAATCGGACAGCAGACCCACAGGCGCTGCTTTTCTCCACAATGTGCGATCCCTCCAGTGGACGTTCACCAATTGAAACCTTCTACTTTTATTTCACTATATTAGTTTATCAACTTTATTGTACATTTAATTAACTTCAAATTTAACTAAATCAACGTTAATCGAACTTAAAACAAGTGACACACTGCCCAACTTAAGAACTGTCGGTCAAAGTTCTATGTCCCATGTTCACTTAGCACAAAATTATAATCGAGCACACGCGATCTCCTCTCGAGTCACAAAGTTTTAGCGTTCCACCCGACAAAGCAAAATTCCTTCGTACGATATTAACATGCCACACAAACAACAACTCGTCGAAGCAAATTAATGGCAATCGAAGTTAAATTAATCACTCAAAACTATTACAACAAGAATTATAATAAGACAAGCCTCGTTGTCACGTTAAACGCACGAGATTAGACAACGCTATTAGAAGCTGTTCCGTGCGTAAATTTTAGACCATCTAACCGACACGGCGGTCGCGAACAATTGCGTCAGCCGACCGAGCGGGCAGCCGAGAGCCGCTCGCGGGAGAGGGGGCTGGCGGTGATCTTTAAATTCCATCGAAAGGACACGCTGAGACGCGCGTCTTGAATGCAAGTTTTAAAAATGTTAATATTTGGCCTAAACACATAGTGTATAAAAGTATTAAATCCCATTTCTGAAGGCATCACGGGAAATTTCTGTTAAGATTTTTAAAGTCGGCTTTCACTTTTTACTCCGTGGCACATTGGTTTAGCAATGAGTTACGGCGCCGATAGCCACGGATTGAAAACCCGCACGGAATAAGTAATTTTAAACTTATTATGTCATGTTTACAAGTACGTTAACTATACTTTTCTTCTTTCTTTTTTTTTTATTAACAAAAACTTTACCCCCACACTAGGATTTTCTCCTGTATCGTGGAGGCAGTTTACAAACATAAATTGCACAAGGACAAACATCCAGACCCGGAACAATTACTTGTAGACCATAGAAACACTTGTTCCGTGCGGGATTCGATACCGCGCCCCCCAGCGCTAAACCACTGCGACACGGTGCCGATACAGGAGAAAATTCTAATGCTGAGGTTAAAAAAATAATTGTAATTAAAAGCCTAATTTGACTATCTTGAGTGGACTAAGGAATATTAAATGATTGAATGTCGTCTAAATAGTTTTTTATTATAATTTCATTATAAACTTCATTCCCTGTTTTTCCAGCATCAATGGAGAATTTTTTCTGTAAATTTATGTAAAACCTATTAAGCTCAACACAAAATTATACTGCTATTCGATGCTAGTATTTTATGCGAGAGTAAGATTCTTCCTCGATCGATCCGAACCATACATGCTGAAGGGATAATACGTTACAACTGGGATTTATTTCTCCTCGAGCTCCAATTAAAGCGATAGCATCGGATATAGGCTAAAATCTTAAACATATGTCATCTGAGCGCCACTAACCCGCGTATCCCCCCGCGGTGCTGCCCTGGGCCCTTAAAGTACGTACGGCAATTCCACCACCCAATTATCTTGAGCTCTCGCTTTAAGAGGTGCTTTAAATGATCTGTCTCAGCGTTCAATCATCCCGTTCAACTGCGGGTGATACGGAGAAGTGTGAATTCGTTCTACGCCAAAAATTTTAATAACGCGCTAAAAATATTGCTTTCAAATTGGCGACCCTGGTCACTAGTTAGTTTAACAGAACATCCAAAACATGCGATCCACGAATCATAAACTACTTTAGAGACGGTTTTGGCCGAAATATCCTTAACTGGGACCGCTTCCGGAAAACCTGTGGCCCTATCAATCATCGTAACACAGTACTGAAATCCATCTTCCGTGGTAGGGAACGGACCGACAATGTCAACGTGTATGTGTGCAAATCTCTTACACTTTTCAAAAGTACCTAAATTGGAAACAGTGTGCCTATTGATTTTAGCCCATTAGCAATTCACGCAAGATATCATAAGATATGTCTTTATTCAAATTCGGCCAGAAAAATCTGTCTTTAATCATCTTACGAGACGCTCTGATTATGATGTGAATTGAATTAAAAATACTTTTCTAAATTTCTCTGATATGTACATTTTCTACTATTAGGCAATGGTAAATTTTTAAATATCAAATGATTATTAGAATTACTTTTTATTGTTTCAATGTAACAATCGTTACACTGTTCATGCGGAAGTTCAGCAAAGTCTATTGTTGTGGGAGCGTATATTGTTTTAATTCTCGACAACGTGTGGGCGATAACGTTCTATTCTCCAGTTACATGACGAATATCCATTGTATATTCGCTGATGTATGCCAACTGACGATTGCGTCTAGGTGTTTCTGTACTGCTTTCTATCAACTTTTTAAATGCAAAACAAAGTGGTGTATGGTCCGTGAATTTAATTAAATTTTGCACATTGATTAAATTTCTAAAATGTTTTACCGCTGAAAATACTGCTAGTAGTTCTCGGTCATAGGTGCTGTACTTCTTTTCTGTGTAACAATTTTTTTTAGAAAAATACCCTTAATGTTTCGAAATCTCGTTATGTTTTTGTTGTACTACGGCACCTATACTGATATTTGATGCATCTGTCATAAATGCTAACGAAACGTCCGGTAAAGGATGTGATAAAGTAACAGCCCTTTGCAAATCAATTTTGTTGTTTAAAAATGCGTCATTCGCTTCCTTTGTCCAAATCATTTTAGTATTGCCGCATTTTTTCTTAGAATTTTTCAAATACTCATTTAATAGGAGATTGACGTAACGAACGCGGCACGTTACTGTAACTGTCAACTTAAATTTACTGTATTTAAATGTTTTAAGTGTTAATTAATAGAATAAGTGACTTTATTGTGTAGTTCATATCCCAATTACAGATAGTGAACGTTTTCCAGTGCAATTATTATAAAGTTAGAATACAATCATTGGACAAAGTAACTGCTGATCCGTAACGACGACGATCACTACCCGCATTAGAAAAAGTTGAAAATTGGTACATAAGTTGTTATATAAATTTTATAAAAATTTAATAAACAATGGCTAAATGTGGGGGATGTGGAAAATTTATGCCCCAGATGGAGAGTGTTCGATGTCCGAAATGCTGTACAGATTTTCATAGGGCATGCGTAAAGATAGCGGATAATGCGAGAATCAGTGCCACTTGGATCTGTCCTGGGTGTAAAAGCCGCTTACCAAAAGGGGATAATTCCGCAACACCTGTTAAGGGATTATTTTCAACATCTTCACCCGGTGACGACATGTCAAGTACAGGTGTGACGTCAAAAGAAGAAAGTACTAATCTTCTTACCCTAGAGATACGTTCTTTTCGGGAGGATCTCCAGGCAGCCAGAGATGACATCAAGAAGGAAATAAAAGAAATGCGTCAAGAGATCACTGATTTTAAGGTTTCATTAAAATCATGTATGGATAGACTTGATGCCATGGAAGACAGGCTTTCGTCTGTAGAAAAACGGTTTGAGCAGACAGTTCCGATAGAAAACAACACTATACAAGATACTGTAAATGAATTACGTGTTCAATTGCAAGAGCGCGACCAGGAATTGCTCCTTAATGACGTGGAAATAGCTGGAATTCCAGAAAACAAAGGAGAAACGCCGGTTCACCTTGTTAAGTTGGTTGCGAAAAAGTTAGGAATGGATGTTGACGAACGGGACATTGTATATGCTGAACGTGTTGGGTTGTCTCGACTGAACAGAGTTGATGAGAACGGAACTTCACCGTCTTATCCGCGTCGCATAGCCATGCGCCTGGCACGCCGCTCCATTCGCGATCAATTCTTGCAAGCAGCTCGAATACGTCGCGTCATCACAACAGCCGACCTGGATTTGGGAGGAGCGCCTCAACGGGTGTATATAAACGAGCGCCTCACGCGCTTTTACCGACAGCTTTTCTACAAAGTGCGTGAAGTTGGTCGTCATCACAATTACAAGTATGTCTGGACAAGGAACGGTAAGATATTTTTGAGGAAAGATGACGGCAAGCCTGTTGAACGTATACGTGACCTGAAGGTTATTGAAAGAATTTTTTCTTTACAAATTGTTTGCTTCACATCCATAGCTTAAACTATGTCAAAAAAGCTCTAGCTCTATTTTGTTTACCTAGCTATCGCTATATTATAACATTCCAACTTGTGTTATTTCGTTACTTATTAGTGGTTATTGATACGGCATATACCTCTGTATTGTTTTCTAAATATTTTTACTGTCCTAACCAGGAGTGTTGTGCCGAAAACAAGTTAATGATATTACATTTTATAAAATATAATATAAGTAAATGCCATTTAACGCCCTCACAAGATGAATTCACTGTTTTAAAAAATTATAAACCGAATATGTCATATTGTAAGAAAAAACTTTCAAATGCAAGAAATGATAAGATTAGGTTATATTCATTTTATTTCTTAAGTAATATTGTGTGTGGAGATAACTTTGTATGTCTTTGTGCTACTATAATTATGTTAAAATCAAATACATTATATATTAATACCCCTAATGGCTAGCAATAAAGGGTTCAAAGTTGGTTTGTACAATGCAGGTTCTCTCGGAACAAAAAGTGAAGAGTTTATTACATTAATGAATAAGTTATCGGTTGATATCATGGCCATAAACGAAACATGGCTGAGAGCTGGAGAGGATGAACACGCACCAGTGATTCCGCAATATAAATTCCGGCATACTCCACGTCCAACAATTGTAAAGTCAGGGCGAGGTGGTGGTGTGGGATTCTACATTAAATAAGGAATTAATACACATACCTATATACACCCTGTCGATCCAAAACATAACATGGTTGAGAAAATGTGGCTAACATCCACTATAAGTGGTAAAAAAGTGGCGTTAGGTACAGCTTATAGGCCCCCCTGGCTCGATGTAAATCTATTTTTAGATGCACTAACTGACACAATAACTTGCATGTCTTCCTTTGACCACATCATTATATTAGGCGATTTTAATATTAACTTGTTGCTTAACAATCATCATAACACAAAAAAATTACACTCTTTTTTGAATACACTCAGTCTTACGCAACTTGTAAACTCGCCAACACATTTTACCGAGTCAAGCTCATCCCTGATCGACATTATCTGTACAGACCTGAGCGCACGTCATGTCACCGTGGAGGCAACAGGGACACTACATGGGCATGCTATGGTGTTTTGCGAGTTCGACGTATACCGAGATAAACCAACCCACAAATGTATTTATATGCGGCCAATAAAAGACATTTTCTATGATAATTTAAAAAAAGATCTGAATTCTATTCGTTGGGACTTAATAGCACAATTACCTGACGTAAATCATATTCTAAATACATTTAACAGATCTGTCCTCTGTGTCTTTGATACTCATGCACCGTATAAGAAATGCGTATTCAAATCTCGACCCTACCCATGGATGACACCTAACCTGAAGTTCATGATATCTTTAAAAAATAAAGCCTTGTCTGATTTCCGTAAAACTAAAGACGTTACAAAAAAGGAATATTTTAAAACTTTAAATTCATTAGTAAATAAGACAATATATTTCGAAAAAGTTGCTTACTTTAATAATAATATCAATAGCCAAAAAAGTCGACCAAAACATCTATGGAAAAGTCTTAAATCTATTATATTACCTTTGAAAAAACCTAAAGAGCTGCCCTTACATTTCACTGACGCTGAAAAAATTAACGACCATTTCCTAAATATTCCCAGTAGTTCAAAGGTTAATCTGTCTCAATTAACTTACTTTGAATTTAATAAATATTGTCAAAACAGTTTTAGCTTAGAACCAACTAGTGCAGAAGCCGTCTTTAAGGTAATCAAGAGTTTACATTCCAATGCTCAAGGATACGACGAAATAACACTGAATATGCTGCTTTTAACATGCTCTGACACATTGGATGTTATTACAGCCTTAATAAATACATCTTTCGCGACTTCTCAGTTTCCTGAACTATGGAAGATAGCTGTAGTTCGACCAATTCCTAAAAATAGTAATCCATTAGATATCAAGGATTTAAGACCTATAAGCATTTTGCCGTGTCTTTCCAAGGTTATAGAAAAAATTGTATGCTGCCAGATAACAGATTACATCGAAAAACACGACATATTGCCACAGACACAATCTGGGTTCAGAAAAGGTCGAGGAACTGTATCCGCTTTACTAGATGTAACAGACAATATTCTACAAGCACAGGATCAGGGATTGTGCACGTTACTTGTATTATTAGATTTCTCACGAGCATTCGAATCAATTAATATTTCTCTGCTTTTATCAAAATTAAGCTACTATGGATTTGACATTAAAACGGTTAAATGGTTTAACAGTTACAGGTTGTTGAATTAAAAAAACCTGACGGCTCACCGACACGCTCAAAGCTTGCGACGATTAACAGGGGAGTACCACAAGGATCAATTCTAGGCCCAATATTATTCATCCTATACTCTGCGGATATCACTAAACATATATGGAAATGCAAATTCCACATCTATGCTGATGATATTCAAGTTTATATATCTTTTAAAGCGGAAAACATGAACAAAGCCATAATAGAATTAAATGAGGATTTACAGCGAATCGCAGCATGGGCTGAGAACAATAGTCTTGTTCTTAATCCGGCTAAAACTAAGTACTTGTTGATAGGCCACAAAAAAGGACTAAATACAATTCAAACCCAGTCGACTGCACTAGCTCCAATGCTTCTTGGCATATCAATTGAGCGCGTGTACGAAGCTCGGAATCTGGGTCTGAACATGGATGCAGGGTTGCGATTCGAGAATCATGTGGCAGATTGCGTGCGAGCTTGTTTTTACAGATTGAAGACACTCTACAAAATTAGACCGTACCTCAGTGTCGAACTACGTGAACAGCTAGTAGAAACGCTCGTGCTCTCGAAGCTGAACTATGCAGACACTGTTTATGGGCCCAGACTGCTAGCTCGTACACAGCGACTAGTACAAAGGGTTCAAAACGCCTGTGCTAGGTTTTGTTATAAAATTCCTACGCGTAGTCATTTAACACCGTTTCTTAATAAACATTACGTATTGAAGATGAAATCTAGACGCAAACTCCACCTGGCATGCCTTCTCTTTGGTGTCGTGAAGTATAAAAATCCACCATACTTACACGACAAACTAGCTTTGGTCGCGCGAAACAGACAAGGTAACAACAGACTGTGTTCTCAACAATTATCTGTGCAGCGTCACAGAACAGCAGCTTTCAGGGGTAGTTTTAGATATGCGGCTACAAAATGTTGGAATAATATTCCACCTCCAATCAGGAGTTTAAAAAATCTCCACCAGTTCAAAATCAAGCTAAAAAAATTTCTTATTGATGCACAAATACAACATGGCAATATCAACCGAGAAAGCTCCTTCCTATAACGCATTGTACGGTTATTAACAAAATTGTCTGTATATTTTTCTCATTTTTGTTTATTATTATTATTACTAATCCATTTTAATTGATAATTGATAGTTGTTGTTACCACACACAATTATGTATAAGGTTATATTTAATGTCTTATATTGTACTTTTTTTTTTTTGCTGCTTTTTGCTTTATTTTAAATTTTGTGTTATAATTATATAGAAGGTTTAGGCTTTTTTCGTTTTATCGAAGGACTAAACTACACGTAACAGCTGTGCTACGTTCGTGACGCCAATGAATAGGTTTCTTGGCTGAAAATCAGCGCTGTGTGAGGCCATACTCACACAACACATGCTGAGCCAACCCCTTTTCGGCACAATGCGACCTTTTTTATATATATCAATATGTGCTTTTACTTTCATGTGTATGAACTGCCTGTGCTGAATAAATGTTTTTTCTATTCTATTCTATTCTATTCTAATATGGCTTGATTTTTAAGTGCATTAGGAATGTGCTGTCTATAGAAATTTAACATTTCTAGAAATCTTCGTAATTGACAACAGTTTCTGGTTTCGGAAAATTAACGACCGTAAAGTGGGGCTTTTTGAGACTCCAGGGGCTATTCACAACATTTGTAATAAAATATTTGATCGAATATATTTTTTCTTCTAGTAACAGTAGAATATATTTTTTACAATATGGAAATACTACAACTAATGTCAGTGCCACCGGTGAAATTAAGAGGTTACCAAAGCGTCAGCAAATCGTTAGATAAATTTTTGAAAAAAGCTTGTTAAATCGAAATAATTTGTATGTACTTTACTTCCAGTTGATATACCAACATTTTAAAGGTAAGTAGAAAATGAGTACGCTCATGTATTTATACATATATTTTCTTGGGATTTTATTGGTGTTTTCCAATGGTTTGTAACCTTTTTTAGAAGTCATATTTTTTATGTTTTGTAGAATGGGGCTTTTTGACACAAGTTTGAGGCTATTTGGAATTCTGTACCAAATATAAGATCGCGGTCTCAAATAGTCCCAAATATCTATCATGTATAAATTTAAGGGGAAGCTTATAGTTTCTTTATTTATTTTATATTACAGTTCCAGAAATATGGTGCGTACTTACCAAAGAAAGTACACTTATTTCAGAAAAAGTAAATCTTTTGCACCATATCATAGTCATTCGAAAGAAAATTTGGACAAAACGATAGAGGCTGTACAGTCTGGAAAACTTAAGTTAACCGAAGCTGCCGATATTTATGATATACCAAAGAGCACACTATGTAGAAAATATAAAAACATAAATTGCACGCAAGATAAAAAAAATATCAAATATCTCGGTATTTATGTTCAATATATAAATACTACCACATTTGTTTAAGCTCCTGTACCTTAGTAGTTTTTGTGTACGAGACTGTTTTTATAAAAAAATAACAAATAGCCCCAATTTACTGTATTGCTTCTACTTTTTCTCTTAGTGGTTTAATGCCTTCTGTCGAAACTTCATAACCCAAAAAAATACTTTTTTTCGACTAAAACTACATTTTTGCAAATTAATTGTTATTCCGAATTCTGTGAAACGTTCAAAATTGTTTTTAAATGCTCACGATGTTCTTTCTCCGTGTCGCTAGCAATGACCAGGTCATCGATGTAACAAAACAAAAAATCTAAACCTTGTAAAACTGTATTTTTCATAGTAGTGTTCGCG